AGATCTATAGAAAAATATTTTTTATAATTGAAAAATATTGATCCAGAGTTTTTAGGGTTGACACATCTTATGTGTTTCCCATCAACGGCCCCTATACAGTTAGGAAACTGAGTTTTTTCATAATATTTCTGTGCTATGCCTATTTATTGTTCACACTTAGGTTCTGCCATTTCGAGGGGTTGGAGGATTAACCATATGACCTCACAAGTTTCTTTTACTATGCTGCTAACAGTGCTTCTATCCATAGAAAATTCATGTTTTAGGGCAACAAAGTTAAGTCCTACTGATAAAAATCTGAAACATAATAATTTAGATTAAATGTTAAGTACCTAGTAGGTAATACCTATATTACATAACATTATTATATTAATTATAGCTGAAGAACTGAAAAAAAAATGGAAAAATATACGTGACAATTATACTCGAGAAGTTAATGAGACGAGACGTGAAGGTGCAAGTGGTTCTGAAGCGTCAAGAAAAAATAGAAAAGTTTATGCTTATGCAGAAATCTTAAATTTTTTACAACCTGTTGTGAAAAAAAGAAAGTAAGTACTAAGTTTTATAATTACTTGGTAGAAATAATAATAAATATATTATATAAATTCACTATTATTGTTGATACATACAAATGTATTAATTATGACTTATGAGTATGCACAACTTAATTTATTAAAAATGTAATTTTATATTAATATTATATTATATCAAATATTATTATTATCATTATAACTTTAAATAACTGGTAGCTTTTTTTTATTTTAAAGTTTTCCTCACAATGATCATCTGAACTTAATGTTACTTAGTTTTTTATTTTTGCATTTAAACCATATTTATTTAGATAATATAAAACTATTTACAACAATTTACAAATACCTAATAATGAATAAATTAATAAGGTAGTATTATAATAATACCGACTAAAATATTTGTTTATAAATTTATAATATTGATTCTTGTAAAATTATTTATTTTAGTTTTCTTAAATAATTGAAATCTATTGTTTTAATTTGTCAGGACCACTGGGAATATGAGTTTAATTGATACCACATCCGTTGAATATTCACCTACACATACAACTGGTATTGAAGATGTTGGTGATGGTTAACATTCTAGAAATTGGTTTGAACTGTGCAGATGCTAATGTTACACAATCGTCTTCAGCAAAAAAAAATAAAAAGTCTAAGCCCACATCATTTCAAGAATCTTTATTGGAAGCTATAAAAAACCCTCCTTTTTTAAATGTACCACCTGAAACAGAGGATCCTGATAAGGCATTTTTAATGTCATTTTTACCAGACATAAAAAAGTTAAATGAAGAAAATAAATTAGAACTTAAATTTCAATTCTTACAGTCCCTTAAAAAAATTTCTGAGTCCAATAATAAACGATACAACCAAAATTTACCAAGCAACTTTTATAGCGGTTTAAACGTTCAACAGATACCACCACAACCCCAAACATCTGTAGTCCATCAACCATATTATCCTTATTCATCATTCTCTGATTTATCTACCAACTCTTATCTATCATCTGATAATGTAACTGTAACACCAGAACACCATGCAGCTAAAATCCCAGCATCGCTCTACCATCAATATTCATCAAATTCAGATGTATCCACTACTAGTACTAATATTTTTCATCCACTGAATACATTACCACCAAAGTTTAAGGAGTACTCCCTTTCAAATCTACCAAATCAACATAATATATCAGATAAATAAATAAATGTATTATTTGTAATCTCTGCATACATATAATACATATTTATTTTGAAAGTACTATGGTATAATAACATATTATTTTATTTTGTTAACATGGGAAAAAATAGTCCCACACTTTTGTTATTTTTTTTTATAATATTGTAACTATTTTTTAAATTATATTGTTTAAAACTTTAAAAGTAAGTTCCACTGATAAATTCAAGACTCAAGAGCAAAGACTGCCTACTTTATTTTATATACCGAATTTTAATATGTATTTTGTTCAATTTAACTATATACTAGAGCTTTAAAATATAAGCTATAATAAAATATGTTAAATGTTGATTATAACTTATATGTATATAATATTTACTAAAGGTAAATAAGTTTGATTGCCTATAAAAGTTTTGTTTTATAATATTAATTTGAAGACATATTATTAAAACTGTGTTATGTATTGTTTCTATATTTGAATTAGATTAAAAAAAAGTATAGTTGCAAATGATTTTAATTTTGAACAGCTTTTAATTTTATTTTGTTTATGAACTCAGAGCAATGAATGTAATAATAATAATAGTTTTACTATGAGTAATTGTTGGTCTTTGGATCTTTTATTATGTTTTGGTCTAAGAAATTTTGTATCAATCTTCCATTTTAAGAGTAATATTAGGTTAGAAATGTAATTTACCTTAATGTAATAGTAAGTCGTTGTTCAGCAGTTATAGGATTTCGGAATGGTGTGGTCTGCTTTGTTATATAAGGACAAATTTTTTCCAGTAATTCGTCAAACGTTGTAATGGACATTCTATAATATTCCATAAATTTGTCTGGATAACATCTAATGTTTTCATAAAATGAATCAAACTGTCCTGATGATTCACGGTTTGAATTAATTGGATGGACCCAATATTTTCTATCTGGGGCTTGTGGATCTAATTGGCCAAAAGCTTCAGCAATACCAATTACCATGTTATAGTGGTAAATACACCGATTAAAATCCATTCTAAATAAGTTTAATGCATGGATAATAATTAATATTAAGAACTATAAATTATCATTTAATTGGCAATGGCACAAATAGGTAATTTTCTGAGGGATGACAGCTTCAGTCATGTGATATTTTTTAAAAGTATACAAGAGGTATCTCTATTGCAGGGCCTGATATTTGAGGGCTTATCCAATTCTTCTCACCCTTGTGCCACTGTTTTAATTGTATAAAAGTTGTATTGTATTATTTTATTCTAGTTTTTTAACTTACCTAGTACCTACTGAATACAGCTTAAACAAGTAATTATTCAATTTCACAATACTTAATACAACAAAATGCAAATTTGGATATACGATTATAATATAATAAAAATTAACTTGACTAGCTAAAGTAATAAAACACTGAACAATTAGTAAAAAACGTTCTATCGTCACCAAAATCTGTATGAGAATGGAGTATAAACTTCCTAACCTAAAACCGTTCTAGTTTGGCTCAAAGCGCGAACGGTAAAACCGCTCTAGTTTGGCGCAATGGCGCGAACGGTTTTATTGCCGCGTTCGGACTCAACGGCGAAAATACCGCAGTGTGGCGAGACCCTAAACGATAGGATTTTTCATGCATTAAGGCTGGGAACACACGGGCGTTATTTTACCGCGCGACATTTTTACCGCACCGTAAATTTACGGCGCGTTTTGTTGAAATACAATAAAATGAATAGAGCACAACACACGAATGTCGCGCCGTAAAAATACCGCGCGATATTTCGAAAACAGTCGCGTGCACCATGACTTTATCGCACGTTAAAAATAACGCACGATCAGAAATTCCAGTCGAAATGCATTATAATGATAGGTGGAGAACACACACGCAGTAATAAAACGCGCGACTGATTATGATTTTATTTCAATATTCGTTCAATTTTCTATTAGTAGTCATTAGTATTCACAAGTACCAACAGTTAACATGTCGTCAGAGCACTCAGAAGAAGAGTCTGAAATCGACTTCTTAAATTTGACATCTGAAATTGATGTTGAACAGAATAGTCAGTTAGACACAGAACTAGACATAGAACTTTTAATTTCGTTTATTGAAAATAAGCCTGTTTTATGGGACAAGACAATAGACAAGTTTTCAGACCGCAATGAAAAACGAAAAGCTTGGAGAGAAGTGTTCGGTTTGATAAAACCAGGATTTGAACATCTTCAATTTAAGGACCAAAAATTGATAGGTATGTATATAAAATACACTATTAAATCAGTATTAATGTTAAAATAAAATAAATAAATATGTTTTCCTTTCTTGTATATTTTGTCTATATCAATTATTGAAATTATGAAACTATTGATTTTACAATTTATTATTATATGTGTGGTTATTTTTAATTATTCATTTTTTTTTTGAGTCTGTGTGCACGATTACTAGTTGAAATAATACTTAAAAATACTAATAATACTTTTAGAGTGGTTTCTTGGTTTTCACATAAGCTGGTATTATAAAAATACATAAGCATAATTTCCTCTATAAGGGTTTAAAGTTCAAATATTTCTGAAATTGCGAAAATTTGGAAGTTATTTTGTTGTTGAAAATTCATAAAAAATTGGTATTTGAATTGTTGAAATATATATAGCTACAAATATAAATATAAATTTTATAATAGTTTTTACTAATCAAGAATAGGTACAAATTATGATATATTATTTTTAACTTAGTTTATTATAATTTATTAAATATAAAGAAACATTAAATATATATTATAGGTTCATTAGTGTTTGGTACCTAATGTATTACAGTATTACAAATATTTGTTTAAAATTATAATCCGATATTTTGGAATTTATTATTTAGAATATTTTACATAGTTCTGTATTTGGTCCTACTTATCATGTTGCCATGGAACTGCTCCTTCTGAAGAAAAATAATCAGCATATACATTCCTCATATCAATAGCTGTTCTCCCTCCACGATCAGCAATTACTGGGTCTATTTCTTCGAAACCTTCCACTGTAAGGGAATCTTTAAGATCGATTCCATTTCTTTCACGTACAAAATTGTGCAAAACACAACATGCATTAGTGATATTTACTGCCAACTGAGGCCTAACCTGGCCGATGAAAAATTCTCCATTTGTTGGACAGTATTCCGAAAGCACATTCCACGTACCTACGTGCACGGGATAAACGATAATTAAATATACGTTTTTTACTTGTCAAGTTTCTTCCCCCATAAGGACGTAGCATATGTTCAGAAAGACCAAATGCTTCATCACCAACAAATACGTAATTTGCAATAATATTAGTATTTTGTATTGGTCATGCTTCAGGGATATTCAATTCATTTCTTGTTAACAGATTCCAAAAAGTAGAATTCTTAAAAATTGTTGAATCTGAGTCTTTTCCATAAGACCCGACATCGATGTACAAAAATTTATAATTTGCATCAACAACCGCTAATAGCACTATTGAAAAATAATGTTTGTAATTAAAATGTTGACTTCCTGTCCCTGTTGGTTTTATAATTCTAATATGTTTCCCATCAACTGCTCCTAAGCAATGAGGGAAATTGGCACGCTGCTCGAACAATTCAGCTTTATTTTTCCATAGCTGTTCTGTCAAAGATGGCATTTCAATGTGAGCTAATTCCTCCCAAACTGCAATACATACTTCTCTTACAATATTCCCTATAGTTGAAGCTCCTAGTTTGAACGAGTAGTGCAAATCTATAAATGTACATCCTGTTCCTAAGTATCTGTAATAATAAAAACATTAATAAGTTTTGCAAAAAAAAACTATTTTAGATTTTGAGACGAGCGATGAATGTATTGATTTTACAATGATATATTGTGTGTTGAAGGGCAGATAGATTGCAAGGCTGTAATTAAAAAATTATAAAGTATATTTTATAATAAATTAAAATTTTAGATAATATTAATTTTATTAAAATTATAGGAAGTAAACCTATAGGTAATTGAAAAAAGTATTATTTTGAATACCTACCTAAGTATATTTAACTCGAAAAAAGGTGGGTAAGTGGATGTCGCTCTGCTGTACAGTAGTCAATATCATTGTATAAGAAAAACGATTCTGAGCGAAAACGGTCAGTCAGCTTATGGTATTCAAGGCTGGGCAAGTTAACAATTTTTTTTAACTCGTTAAGTTAAGTTATTTTAGAATAATTAAGTTAAGTTAAGTTAAAAGTTCCTCGTATTTTTTTTCGTTAACTCGTTAAGTTAAAAGTTAAATTTAAAAAAAAAGTAACGAGTTAATTAACTTAATTAAAATTAACTTAACGTTTTAACTTAATTTTAATTTTTAACTCGTTAATGCCCAGCCTTGATGGTATTAGTGTATTACTAAGTATATTTGATGATATTAAGGTGAATAAAGTAATTTATATTTAACTTATTTACGTGGAATCTTGTTTTAAATTTTCAATCCTTAGCTATAAAAGTTGAACATTTTATAAATTATTAACTACAATATAATTATTAAATTTAAAATTTGATAAATGTTGTCCAAATTTGAACTTTAAATAATTATAAAAAAAAATTGTGCCTATGTATTTTTAATATTTTTCAACTACCATTGTAACAATATAGCAGGAGCCTTGCATTAAATTTTCACGCTTTTTTACCCAACAAATAAAATTTTATTGATATTTATAGAAAAAAAAACTAAATAAATTGAAAACTGACAATGTCCGTAAACAACTCAAAAATAGTCAAATTATTTTCAAAATTTTATCGTGTATAGAAAAATAAAATTGATAAAAATCAAAATTTTCAAAAATATCAAAAAAAGTTGAAATATAAAATTTGAAAATTTAATAGTGTATAGAAAACGGTAATATAAACATTCGGTAAAAATTTCATGTTTATACAGTTAAAAGTTTTTTAGTTGAATCAAAAAAACTAAAAAGATTTTGCGTAAAAATGCTCGTTTTTTTATTTTTTTTCCTTACACATTTAAAAGCTATTTAATATCTTTATATATGACTTCCTTACACCAACTGCTATCAATTTCCTATCAGAAACTAACCTCGAAATTGAAAATCATAGCATTATTTCGACTACTTATCGACTATCGTGTACATACACAACAACAAATTTAAAAAGAACAAACATCATTATAAAATCAATATATTCATCACTCCATCCATAATAATTAGAAATTAATATTATTACTATAATATTATAATTTTTTAGGAGAAAACATTGAAAAAAAATGGAAACACATCAAAGACGCATACTTTAGGACAATAAAAGAAAATAAGCCAAAATCAGGAGATGGGATGACAAAAAAGAGAAAAAAAAATTATATTTACCACGATCAAATGCAGTTTCTGACAAAAACCATAATACCCAGAGAAACAATAAGCTCTATACCCAAGCAGCATTCCGAAGAAAACGTCGAACTTCAACCATCTACTTCAAAAATTAATTTACCAGCAGCCGAAATACAAAATAATGAAGAATTTAAAAAAAAACAAAAGAAAAAATCCAGGAATGTTGAAGACACATTTATGGAGTATCTTGAAGAAGTCACTAAAAAAAAGAAGAATGATTGCAATCCTGTAATAAAAGACGAACATGAAAATTTTTTTGATTCAATGCTCCCAGTCGTTAGGCAATTTTCTGTTGACCAAACGTTGGCATTTAGGGCAGAAATGATTAACGTCATTCAAAAAATTATACGTGGCACAATTTATTCCACAGATCAATTCCAACAGCCTCAATATGAACAATTTCCTAATTATTACCGTTTGTGATGTTATAGAATTCTTAATATAATTAGAGGAGGATTTTTTTTACGGATATATGGCATAGGCATTTATTACAATTCACAACATTTTTGTATAATAATAGGCATACGCTGTACAAAAAAGTTATTATACCTAATATTATATTCATGAATATACGTAAAGTAATTTATTTTCCATTTTTAGATTCTGAGCGGAGCGATGAATGTATTGATTTTACAATGATGTGTGTTTTTTTTTTTGTGTCTGTCATCCCGGTTTCTTGCAGTAAAAGTATTCCGATTTTCAATAATAATACCGTTTCTGATAGGAAAGTGAATCTAGTTGGTGCATTCGGGAGGTCAAAATTTGAATTTCCCAACAGTTTTCAAAAGCGACGGGAAAAACAAACAAAAAATTAAAGAAAAACGGGAATTTTTACGCAAAACCAGTTTTCGAAAAAATCAATTTTGGTTTTTAGTGTAACTCTAACAAAAATAACCGTAGATAAATGAAATTTTCACTGAATATTTGTGTTGGCATTTCCTAAACACCATAAAATTTTCAAAATATTTTGATTTGTATTGAACTATTTGTAGGCATATGAAATTTTCGATTATTATTTGTTTTTTTTAAACTAATGTCGATAAAAAAATTATCGCTCGGTCAAAAAACTTGTAAATGTAATACAAGGTTCCTTGAAAGTTGTTGTTAATGGAAATAAAAAAAAAGTTGAGCGTAAATTCACAATAATTTTTTATGAGCGTTTAAACTTAGAATTTTAACAAAATCAGGAAAATTAGCAAACTATATTTAGTTAGAAATTCGTAAAATGTTTTCTATTTATATCTTAGATTTGAACATTTAATACAAGATTCCTTACAAGTTCGTCCACCTTTTTCAAAAAAAAAAATTTCTACCGGAAAGTCAAAATAAATTTTTATGAACGTTTGAAATTTTTAATTTCATAACACTGGATATTCACTCGATTTCTCTTGTAGCAATTTCCTTATTTTGTTGTAATTCAAAAACGAATTATTGTAGACACTTGAAATTTACACAAAATGTTTGTTTTATCAATGTTTATACTTGATAAAATTTTCAAAAGTTTTTGACTCGTTTTAGGCTATTGACGGACATTTTTCATTTTCATTTTTTCTAAATTTGTTTTCTATTAATATCAATAAAATCTTATTGGTTGGGTCAAAAAGCATGAAAATTTAATACGAGACTCTTGATAAATTGTTACAATCGTAGTTGAAAAATATTAAAAATACATAGGCACAATTTTTTTTATAAGCATTTAAAGTTCAAATGTTGACAATATTTATCAAATTTTAAATTTTAAATAATTTTGTAGTTAAAAATGTATAAAATTTTCAATTTTTATAGTTAAGGATTGAAAATTTAAAACTAGGTTCCTCCTTGAAGAGTTTTTTTTTGTAACTGAAAAATCTAAAAAAATTATCAATACAGTTATATTTTACAGACATTTTAAGTTCAAATTTGAACAAAATTGCATATTAACACAATAAATAACGTTTATCATTTTGTTGTAATTCGGTTCCAAAATAGCTCAATCTTTCATAAGTATATTTAATATTTTTTCAGCATCACTGATAATTTAGGAATCATATTAATTCAACTTACCAGCTACCATATTAGTAATAAGTATTATATCAATATAAAATATCCTAAACTGACATACCGTCTCCGCTCAGAATCGTTTTGCGTATACAATGATTTGATATCATTGAATTCAAATTTAATATCATACATTACAGCAACCTCATCTTAGACACCTAATGTACAGCAGACCGACATCCACTTACCCGCTTTTTTTTTTTATATGTATAATAAAGCACCAAAAAATGTTTCACCCTGGGCAATCATCTACACTGCCTAATGGGAAATCCGCCTCTGAATATTCCATATTATTATATTTTACATTACATTTGTACCTAATATATGGTGCAATATTCATTGATTTTTAGGTACTTGTTTGTTATCGCCCCGCCAGTACACCGTATAAAATTTATCGCCCCGCCACTCTTGTTTGTTATCGCGCCTCCAGTACATCGCATACAATTTATCGCTATTGCTAATCGTTTGTGATCTATTTTAGAAAATGAGAAAAGTATATTTTATCATTTTTATGATATAGGATATTAGTTCGTTGCTGGCATTCGTTTACTATTTCATTTACTTATTACCTACTACTGAGAAATTCGAAAAATTAAATTAAATTATGAATTTTACTGAATTACTTACAATTGTTTCAAACAGTCCCAAGTAACAATTTCCAATGATAAAGGTTGATTAATATTTAGTTTAGATTTAAAAATAATTATTTTGTTTTCAATGTTATTACAAAATATATTATGATTTGAAAATTAATAATTTAGATGTAATATATATTTTTATTTAATTATGATTGAAGATTAAATATTTAAATCCAACTATTAAAATATATTAAACCATTATTTAAAATAAAATAATTATATATACCATTAATTAATTATTAAATATATATTTAAAAATAAATCCATAATTAATAATTAATATTTAATATTTATGTTATATTAATGTATATTAATTTTAATGGGACTATATAATATTGATGAGTTGTCCTAATTTAGTATATATTATATATGTGACAAACAAATTATTGAAGGTGACCTACAGCGAACCAAATTTATACATGCTTCAGTTTAATAGTGGCTATAAGCCCTCCCACTCCCTTATATAGTTAAGTATAGATGATAGGTATATGCCGGTTTCGGGTTTATATAATAATTATAATTTTGTTAAACCAACCTGCAGCACTATAGGGATAGGATATTGACAACAGAAAACTATTATTTTATATACCTAGCTTCTATAATAA